TTAAAGATTTCCAGATTAATACTTACCTTGGGGATCGTTCTTTAACATCCTCTGATGCTGATTTATGAGAATAAATCTGTTTTGGAAAAAAACAGGATCATGATTATCCATCACAATGACTACTATCTCCAAATCTTTATTCATTCCTTTTCTGTATTTTAAGTCTTATCTACCTGGTGAAACAACTTTTGGGACTAGGAACTCTATCCTGCTCAATACTGGAAGTAATAGAATTCAGTAGGTGGCTAGGTACAAAATCAAGTGATCAGCGCACAAACCTCAATAGCTTTCCCAGGTACCCCCAATAACTAATTAGAAAGTGGAAGAACAATCCCATTTACAACAGCAATAAAAATGTTAAGTACCTAGGAATAAACTTGACAAAACACGTGTAAGATCTATGTGATGAAAACACTAAAACTCTTCTCACTGATGTTAAGCTATAAATACGTGGCATGAGATACCATGGTCCTAGAATGTTGTAAAAATGTCAATTCACAAATTAATCTACAAAGTCAATGCAATCTTATTCAAATCCCAAGACAGTTTTTTTTTTTTTTTTACAAAAATTGACCACTTGACATTTGGTAGAGAAAATGGGCAAGAATAGCTATGAATTGTATGAAAAAGAAGATCAAAGAGCAGGAGCTCACCCTACCAAATACATAATTCGAAATACGTTATAAAGCAACTGGAATTACGTAGTGTGATCCTGGTACTGGCACAGGAGAGAACAGAGTCTAGGTAGAGATGGTATTTTAGATCACTGAAGAAAGAATGAACCATACAATACACATTGTGTTAAAGCAATTGAATATTCATGAAGGGAAAAATAAGTTAGACTCTCTACCTCAACCATACTAAAAAACAAAGAAATAAAATTCCAGATGGATTGAAAAATACCAATAACATAATCCCCCCTGGCACAGGCTTGCCGGGTTGACCCCACGTCTGCTACCTGAGGTGCCACCTCAACTCACGCACAATGTCAGGTGGGCACTGCCCTTGCTGGGCTCTTCCTCGCCTCGTCTGTGCCCTCACTACTGACCAGCCCTCTGCAGATGGACATGTTTTTCTCTAGACACGTTAATACATCCAGTGGGGTTCTGCTCACGTCTGTAGACCAGGGACCTTACATCTCTGCCCTGCTCCATTATGTGTAGACCTTGGCATTTCTCTCTTGGATAGCCATGTTTTAAAAAATTGTCTACCACATTTTTAAGTCCGCAGGGAGGGGGAACACTTCACGAAATGGTGATAAATCTCATGCAGGGACTAGGCCCAGGAGGGCTGGAGTATTCAGGGATGGCTTCATGAAGAAAGATGAACTTGAGGCGGCTTTTGACAGACTCACAGGACTTCCACAGGCAGAGTGACATATGGGAATCTTAGATGGGCAAAGGCACAGACACAAGTAGGAATGGGCCTGGTGTGACTGGTGTGGTGGGGGCTGCTTTGGCTGGAATGGAGAGCTGCCATGATGGCAGAAAAGGTAAATGAGGTGGGTTGGTAGAGTCAAGACTGTCAGCTTCTTAAATCACTCTTAATGTGCCAGGACCTGCCTGCTGGGAAAAGTGATAAGCTATTTTGTAATTGAGTAAAAGGTAAACAGAGGCAAGCTCCAGGAATAGGCTCCTGTAAATACGGCATGCCTTAGAGTAGCCTAATGCAGGATTTGGCTGCAGGGCTTTACCTGAGCCTNCGTTGTTTCAGAAACTACCTGTGTCTATATATGTGTGTACTGATTCGTGACATAAAATGTAGCTCGCAGCCCAAGCACAGTAAAATCAGTGGAGAAATCCCCAGCTAGGAAAAGAATCAGCCTCTTCTGATATGCACTACAGTGTGACCATGGGGCAAGATATTTTCCCTTTCTCTTTCTTTGTTTCCTTATAATAAAAGGAAGAGACAAACTACTGTCTGAGGTCTCTCCTAGTTAAACTCTATGAGGTTTGGATAAAAGGAATAGAGAGTGAGGCCCGAAATCCAGTAGGACAAGAAGGTAAATTTTCCTGCCACTTTAGAGGAAGGTCTCATGTCTTCTACCTTCTATCAGCCTTGAATTACCTTAATATCGTGGCCTTCCTTATCCCTCTCCAGAGCTCCAAGGAGGCCTCTGGCTTGGCCTGGTGCCCACTCCCCACCAGAAGGAACAGGCACCACCAAAGCCTCTCCCCTCCACCCTTTCTTGGAAAGACAGCAGGTGCATCCTTACTGGTCACTGCTAACTCAGCTCTGCCTGGGGAGGTAATGTTGCTGGGGTCAGGCAGAGCCCTGGGTTAAGGAAGTATTCCTGCCTCTGGCAGTTTTCTCAATGCAAAATTAGGGAATTGAAATAGATACATTTTAAGTTCTCTAGTTCTAAATTTCTAGTTTAAAGATTTCCAGATTAATACTTACCTTGGGGATCGTTCTTTAACATCCTCTGATGCTGATTTATGAGAATAAATCTGTTTTGGAAAAAAACAGGATCATGATTATCCATCACAATGACTACTATCTCCAAATCTTTATTCATTCCTTTTCTGTATTTTAAGTCTTATCTACCTGGTGAAACAACTTTTGGGACTAGGAACTCTATCCTGCTCAATACTGGAAGTAATAGAATTCAGTAGGTGGCTAGGTACAAAATCAAGTGATCAGCGCACAAACCTCAATAGCTTTCCCAGGTACCCCCAATAACTAATTAGAAAGTGGAAGAACAATCCCATTTACAACAGCAATAAAAATGTTAAGTACCTAGGAATAAACTTGACAAAACACGTGTAAGATCTATGTGATGAAAACACTAAAACTCTTCTCACTGATGTTAAGCTATAAATACGTGGCATGAGATACCATGGTCCTAGAATGTTGTAAAAATGTCAATTCACAAATTAATCTACAAAGTCAATGCAATCTTATTCAAATCCCAAGACAGTTTTTTTTTTTTTTTTACAAAAATTGACCACTTGACATTTGGTAGAGAAAATGGGCAAGAATAGCTATGAATTGTATGAAAAAGAAGATCAAAGAGCAGGAGCTCACCCTACCAAATACATAATTCGAAATACGTTATAAAGCAACTGGAATTACGTAGTGTGATCCTGGTACTGGCACAGGAGAGAACAGAGTCTAGGTAGAGATGGTATTTTAGATCACTGAAGAAAGAATGAACCATACAATACACATTGTGTTAAAGCAATTGAATATTCATGAAGGGAAAAATAAGTTAGACTCTCTACCTCAACCATACTAAAAAACAAAGAAATAAAATTCCAGATGGATTGAAAAATACCAATAACATAATCCCCCCTGGCACAGGCTTGCCGGGTTGACCCCACGTCTGCTACCTGAGGTGCCACCTCAACTCACGCACAATGTCAGGTGGGCACTGCCCTTGCTGGGCTCTTCCTCGCCTCGTCTGTGCCCTCACTACTGACCAGCCCTTTGCAGATGGACATGTTTTTCTCTAGACACGTTAATACATCCAGTGGGGTTCTGCTCACGTCTGTAGACCAGGGACCTTACATCTCTGCCCTGCTCCATTATGTGTAGACCTTGGCATTTCTCTCTTGGATAGCCATGTTTTAAAAAATTGTCTACCACATTTTTAAGTCCGCAGGGAGGGGGAACACTTCACGAAATGGTGATAAATCTCATGCAGGGACTAGGCCCAGGAGGGCTGGAGTATTCAGGGATGGCTTCATGAAGAAAGATGAACTTGAGGCGGCTTTTGACAGACTCACAGGACTTCCACAGGCAGAGTGACATATGGGAATCTTAGATGGGCAAAGGCACAGACACAAGTTTTAAAGACATAAAAAATACATAATTTAGCTTTAGAAGTATATATGTATTATTATTATTATTATTATTATTATTATTATTATTATTATTATTATTATTATTATTATTATTATTATTATTATTATTATTATTATTATTATTATTATTATTATTATTATTATTATTATTATTATTATTATTATTATTATTATTATTATTATTATTATTATTATTATTATTATTATTATTATTATTATTATTATTATTATTATTATTATTATTATTATTATTATTATTATTATTATTATTATTATTATTATTATTATTATTATTATTATTATTATTATTATTATTATTATTATTATTATTATTATTATTATTATTATTATTATTATTATTATTATTATTATTATTATTATTATTATTATTATTATTATTATTATTATTATTATTATTATTATTATTATTATTATTATTATTATTATTATTATTATTATTATTATTATTTGTTTTGCTATGCTGCTTTAATTTTAATCACATTAATGGCTCTTTGGATCCAGTGGATATATTGTATAAGGAAAAAAACAAAAGATTTAATTTCAGACAGCTGGGTACTGATTATCGCAGGGATGATGTGTAAAAAACACAGTGATGCATTTTTGTGTAACTTTGTTTCAAAACTTGTTTTGTTTTTAGTTAATGGTTCTTTTCTCTGAAGAATCATGACAATGTTTAATTGTCATACACCACGGTCAAGGGTTCAGATCCCTGTACTGGCCACCCACCAAAAAAAAGAAAGGAAGAAGGGATGAAAACTATTCAAAACCCCATTCTTGGGCTGGCTGGTTAGCTCAGTTGGTTAGAGCATGGTGTTGTTAATGCCGAGGTCAAGGATTAGGACCCCAGTAGGCACCAGCTGCCAAAAAAAAAAAAACCCACCAAACAAAAAAAAGAGTAAAACCCATTCTTCCAGATGAGTAGCTGACAGGTTCTTAAAGAACATACTAAATCTAATGTGTTACATAATCTTACTATTAAGCATTTTTTTTTTCTACAATTTTTAGGTCTGCTTTATTCTCTGAGCAAAGTAGAAAATCAGTGTCTTGGCCAAAGTTACGTGACCAAGACAAGATACGGACTCGGAGCCTCTGGTCTTCCTGCTTGGGCACATTAATGGCATATCCTAAATGATGGGAAAATCCTGAGTCTCCTGTTTCAGCAGTTGCGCTCACCTCATGTGACTCCTGGTCTTTCTGTTCACCCTGGGCTTCTGGGCTCTCGTTGATGCCGTTCTCAGTTTTCCACTGGTCCGGATCCCATTCTGCCTTGGACGCCTTTGCTTCCTGCTGCTCACTGAGAAGCTTCATCAGGAGGCCTGTTCTGAAGGCCTCTGTTTGTACATGGGACTCAGAGCAGTCCATTTCCAAAGTCTGGATACCATGAGAAACGAGCCTTCTCAGTCATTGTTGGAGAAGAGGGATCTTAGCTGCTGGTTTAGCTGAAATTCAAATTGATCACCTGGGGATGAAAGCGATGGGTAAGTGAAGCCTTTGGGCTTGAGGGGTAAGTCAGTCTCCCGGCTGCCGTATTCCCATTGTGTTTCACTGGATTGTTTAGCAGTTGGCACTGACTTTAATGCAGTCACAGGAGAATCTATAGCAGAATACTTGTGATGCTCTGATCCCTCTTGATGCTCTGATCCCTCAGTGATGTTCTGATCCCTCTTGATGCTCTGATCTCTCACTTTTTTTTTTTTTTTAAAGATGACCGGTAAGGGGATCTTAACCCTCGACTTGGTGTTGTCAGCACCACGCTCAGCCAGTGAGTGAACCGGCCATCCCTATATGGGATCCGAACCCGGGGCCTTGGTGTTATCAGCACCGCACTCTACCGAGTGAGCCACGGGCCGGCCCAGATCTCTCACTTTTTTGAAGTGCCTTTTCTTTATGCCTCTTTGCTTCTTGAGGATTTTGCACACTCTCTGCAGCCTTTTCTCTATACTCTCAAGCTTTGCCAGGCTGTTTTTCTGTGGTTGGGCAGTTTCTAACTTCTTTGAAAAGATTTGGCATCTTAAAAGATTAGATTGCATAAGCATGGCAGTTTTTTCTTTCTTTTTAACCTCATCAATTTTTTCTTGAATTTCTTTAGCTAACAGATTTTCTAGAAAATAGAGTTTCCTCAGTTCATTTTTGTAGGGTGAATTGTTTGATTCAGGTATAAGAGAGAGTGTATTTGTATTTTTTTTCATATAACCCAGGGGCATATCTTCATCCTGTACATTTGAAAAAAGAAGTTTAATGAATGGTAATAATGTTGGTTGTATGTCTTCTAGGTTTCCCTCTGATAGATAAGATAACAGGTAATTTAGTGTGTGTATAATTTCACTTTTTTCATTTAGGTCTAGCTGCTCATTCATATCTGACCAGTTCATGCCAGTTTTGTCCGAGGATGCCTTCTCTGGCTCAATCGTCAGCTCAGTGCTTGTGTTCTTCCAAGATTTTAATACTTTCATGAAAGCTCCTTCAGGATTTCTTATAGATGCCTCTTCAACTGTCAAAAGAGAAGAGACTGCTTTTGATAAGGAAGACCGATGGAGTGGCTTTTTTATCAGGCCACAGCTATAGATCCCAGTCAAATAAATTAGGAGTCAGCAAACATATGAGTGCCATTTAGAGAGGAGGAAAACAAACCAACACTTGAATCTATAAAATAGCAACAACAGAAGGATAAAAAGACATCGTTTGAAAAAGTGGCCGCCTACTCAGAACACTCCATTTAGATTATGCCATTGGTCCCCAATGGCCAATTGCCCAGTACTCATGCCCAAGGCTGGAAGACAGATATTCCCCCAGTCAGCTGGCCTCTCTGCAGACCTTCCATGCCTCCTCACGTTCAAGTGCCCCATACTGTCCCGCCTCGTGTGCAGAGCGAGTGCAAGTCTTCCTCTGTCCCCCTCTTTAGTGTGCTTTTGTTCTCAGAACCATCACAGGTGACCATGACGAAAGACAGTCCTGTGAGGGGAAAAAGGGCAGAGACGCTAAAGCAGAAACGCCACTCCCCCTGCTAACAGGCCCTCATCTGGACGTCCTTCTCCACCTCCCCACCCAGTTCCTTCGCTTGGTCCTTGCTCCCATATACCATAGCCCCCAGAACAGAAGGCTCTACACAAGATAAAATATTATTTCTATCCTGGTTCTTTCTTTAAATTTGGGCATGGATCTGGGGTATAAGTTAAGAGATTTCTAATTTGCCAGCTTGTATGCCTATGTGGAATGTTCAGTAAATGTGTGGAATAAAAGTAGTTTCTGGATAAATATTACTAGAGGTCCTAAAATGCAGAAGAAAGAAAGCAACTTTGTCAGAGGCCTAGTACTTTGTTTTCATTTCATTGCTAGTATTTCCAGCTTTACTTGGGGAACCATCCAAAGCTTCTGACTGCATGAAGTCAAGTGTACCATTGTGTAGCTGAGTTTCCAGAATTAAAAGTATTTTTGGTGGTGGTGAGGGTCAGAAGAGGAGGGAAGGATCGTGAGAAAGGAGGAACATGGGCTTGTGGAAATTGGGGACAGAAGACCCAGGCACCAGGCTAGAGCACTTAACACCTCTGATCTTGCTTTTTCTCATTTGTAAAAGGAGATTAAAAATGCTTGTTCTGCCAACTTCTAGGGAAGAAGGAAATAATAAAATTGGTAAGAAAAAAAGCACTTTGGGTCCGGCCTGGTGGCGCACTGGAGAGTGCGCCGCTTGGGAGCGTGGCGGCGCTCCCGCT